CAAAGGCATATTTAGTTATGAACTTAACTTTTTCTTGTAATTTAATTTTAAGAACTTTGTACAAACATTTAATTGTATTTAATTTAATCAAAAGCTCAATAGTTATTTAACACACAATTTTAAAAAATATTTGCTTTTTTATTCAATAATAAATTATGTAAAATATAAACTATATTACATTTTAAATTATAATATACAAATTTAATGAACTTCATCTGCCATACTTAGTTCCATTCCAGAAATTATTTGAGATGTGAATTAAACTATTTTTATACTTATATATCTACAATCATATATAATTATGTATATATAAGTATGTATATACGTGTACAAGAGGACAGCGTATTTTGAGATTATATACTGTCTGAAACAAATGTGTATATACATATACATAAGTATATATGTATATATTTTTAAAATAATTTTGTATAAATAAAATGCAAAATATACTATGATTTTTGGTATACATACACATATTTATAAAATAAATTAAGAAATTATAAAAACGAAATTAAATCAATTTAAAATAATAATATATTGAATAGTTTTCCACTTCTAAAATTTCTATGTGAGTGTAGTATTTATATTTGTATAATTAAACTTTAACAAAATTTTCTATACATAGATATTTATATATTTACTTCAAAAAAATTTATATGAATTTGCTCCTATACGTTACATACATGTTTATAACACAATGTTTATTCCTTTTAAATATTTTTGCTAAAATTTATAGTAAATTTATGAACTTATTGTCTTTTACTTTAAATATAATCGTTCATGACATTTAAAAATTTTTGTTTATTCAGTTACTGAATAATTTAATTCTTGTTCAGTTAAATAAAATTTTCTTTTATGATTTTAAAACTATTTATGCTTATAAAAACAAAATTTATGATGCCACTTGAAAATACATATTTTATGAAAACTAAAATGAGAAATGTTTGCATTTTTGATTAAGTTTAATTTATTTTTTTTAGATATACATTTTAACAAATTTAAATTATGCGAACAATATTATAAAACTGGTAACACTTTTTTATAAACGCTCTTAAAAAACTGTTTTTGGTAATTTAGTAAGATTTTTACTTATTCTTTCCTTTATAACAAGTTTTTATTGGTGTTATTGATAATTTTGAAATGATTGATTACTATGAAAATTACTTATATGATGATTTTTAAATTCAATATACATATTATATTTTCTAAATAAGAAATAGAAGTTAATTATTCAATATAACCTATAAATATATAAAACAAAACCTTTCGAATGTTAAAATATTATTTTAACAAATTCTTCTTCAACTTATATAAATATTGAAATTGTTAATAGTTAAACAAATTTTTTTACTAATTTCGAAATGTACATAATCATATATATTATAAATGTAATCAAAACTAAAAGATAAAAACTTTAAAAAAGTGAAATTTCATCCTCTATTCGTATACCTTTTGAATGTCTATTAATGTGAACAAAATAATATATAAAAAATATAGCAATTTTAATTTTATCGAATTCTCTGTGAAAATAATAAATAAATATAAAACAAATAATATTATAATTTTAAGCACCCTCTCTGATAACAGTATTTTCTAAATTATAATATCAATAATCAGATATGGTTATATAAACGTAATACATTTGTAAAAATACACACGAAAGTAATAGAAAAGAAAAAAAATTATACAATTATGCAAAGACAAAATATTTAATCTATATGAAACCATTTGTAACTATTTAATAAAAAAGAATAAAAATAATTATACTTGCTAAGAAATGAAAGTACGCCGAAAGATTAAGTATTTTTAACTGAGACTCCTGTTGACTAATTATTTATTTTAAGATTATCTAACATTTTGTATGATATATCATTACCTTTTTTATCCATAAGTTATTAACTGTATAACCAACTATTTATTTCAAAATGATAGAATTAATTTGTGTTTGCAAATTACTGCATGGAATATTGATATTTATTTCAAATTTAACAAAATTTTCAAAAAAAAAAAAGGAACTACGCAAATTTAAGAATAAAATAGGCTGAATGATGTTATATATAAGTAAAGTGAAATATAAATAATTCCAGGGTGTGTTTGAACTGGTGTTAAAGTATTACGTGGGGTGCTTCCTTTCAGGGAAATGTGGTGTTTGAACATCTAAGAACTGGCAGCTCCAATTTTACAAAAAATACCCGAATGAAAGGCAGTCGTAAATTGCAAAATGAAATATTCTATAAATATGCTTTGATCTAGATTCGTGTTTAATGGTTCTTATCCTAAACTTATTTTATTTCTTAAAAAATACATATTGTTTGCACATTCTATCTCAATTCGAAATATTTTGTATTTTAATTTAAAATGAAAAATTTTATTTAAAATGAAAAATTTTAATTATTTGCAGTTCAATTCATTTTAGTTAACTAGCATACAAAACATATACATAACCACCACTAATATATAACATAAAAACTTTACTTATTAAACAACATATCAGATATAGATATAATAATTATGTATGTATATTCTTATTACTAAAATTACACATCCTTAAATTCTCATTAACGTAATCACTATAGAAATTTCAGATTCTAATACAAATTTTCATAAACTTTAAAAAAAATACTTAAATCTAAGTAAATTAAAAGTAAATTTAATTTCTAAATAAATTTAATTTTAGAATTAAATTAAATATACAAGAAAAGAAATAGGTCTAAAAGAGTGTAAAGAGGGATGAAATATTTTTTTCAACACTTGTATAAGTTATTAATAAATTAAAAATTAGTTGATTTTGCTTACAATATCATAATTGTTTAACTTTTATATAAATGATAAAGATAAACTTGAATGTACCTTGAGTGCGAAAAATTATAAAGAAAATTATTTAGAAAATTTGATTTTAATAAAAAAAATATTAAAAAGATGAAAATTAAAAAAAATTCAAATAAATGTATTAAAATAAAACTACATAAATATACATATATGTGTGTTTTTAAATCTGTCTTTTTATAATGTTTGCAAACAATTTACACTTAGTTTACTAAGATTAAAAGTTTTCAATTTGAAATATTTAGCTTATTTGAAACCTTGATGATAAAATTTCGCCAAAAAGTCTGGCAACATAGAAAAAAAAACTTGCATAAAATCTGATAAAAAAAGCAGCAAGACCATTTTTATTTTCATATAGTTTATGTTTATTAAAAACTATTCTTAGTTGAATTAAATTTTCAAGCAAAAACTAGAATCAAATTATTTTTAAAGTAAAATTTTTGGTGATTTTGATTTTCTTTCTGTTGACGTTCTAAATAAAAAAAAAAATAAATTATTTTTTTTAGCTAAAATAAAGTTTACTTGATTTTTCTAACCAATTCTCTATTTCACTGTTAGCTATCAGTAGCATTTAAAATGAAGCTTAAATTGTATTAGTGGGCATAATAAAATCATACTTCCTTTACAAATAATATCAAAATATCGAAAGCAGTATTCGATTAGTCAAGTAGACAGTCGCTGTCTATCGGAATTCACAATAATATTATTATTATCCAGCTTCAATAATTATAATTAATGAATATAATTATTATCCAGCTTCAGCGTTACCTGGGCGTTAATTTATTTAAAATAATGTTATTTATATATTGATTATAGAAATATTGAATTAAGTGAAAGTGATTCTCAAGTGAAAATTCTGGCCTTTAGTTTAGAAATCTGGTCATCTGACTGGCTTTTGGAAAATCAGAAAAATCAGATATATCTGGGAGTATAGGGAGTACATTTCTTGAATTAAGTCGGCAGGAGCTATGGTTCCCAAGATATCAGAACTTCTTTAATAAGAGCTTATTGAAGTTTTTTATCAAAATCTATTAATAGGTTTTTTGAATCGTAATTATAATGTTATTGTGACGTTAACGCTATTCCAACAAAATTTAATTTTATACTTGCGTTTACATACAATAAGAATTAACAGTATTTAAATGCAAAATAATAAATGTAAATTCATAAATTTTCTCCACTTATAGATAAGTGTAATATTTTAAAGTAATTAACGTCAAATAATGTAACAATTACACCTACACAACAACACATGAATCAATTCTAATACAAATCAGCCACATTCTGATTATCCCATTAACTATTAAACACGAATAATACTAGGTACATGATGTGAAAATATGAAAGATTATGTCCGAGTATTGAGTAACCAGTATTCTTGATCTACGAGGAACTAGTTACTTCAAATCCTCGAAGTAACAAGTATTTAAATAAAAGTCGTATCTTGAAAATAAATATAGTGAAGCCCAAAACTTCAGGTAAGTCTCTTTCTTTGCTCTAAACATTGTCGGACGAAAATTGAAATTAAATGCCAAATTTTTTTTTTCTTGGAAAAATATGCTGCACTGATATAAATAGTAAACAAAGAAAATCAGCGTGAATTATGACTCTTGATTAAAAAATTAACTCTTGAGAAAAAAAAATAAAAAATACCTATTATTGTTTTCCTAATTTTTGCCTTGGGTTCGTAAAAAAAATCATATTATTATTATGTATGTGAGTATATAAAAATACATAATTTAATAAAAAGAAATGAACGTACGAAATCTATGTTAAATGCATATTCGATTCCACATACAAGGGTGTTTTCTTTTAATATGTTCAATTGTTCAAACATAAAAAAATCTTTGAAAAAGCTTTATTAACATTTTAATAAGTTTTTTTAAAGTTTTCTAATGTATTATGGGAAAAATATTTAACATTTTTTTTAACAAAATATAATGTTAAAGTATTAAAAAAGAATTGTACATTATTCACTTTACGTTGAATTTAAAATCAGAAAAAGCACAAAGTAAAGCTTTATTTTGTTGAACAGAATGCTAATGTACATAAATTAAAACTAACATTCTGTTAATTCTGTACAAATTTGTATCATACTTTCTGCAAAATATATATGGTTATTCTGTTCAAATGATTTTAAATAGAATAAAATAAATTTTAGTTGCAAACAAGTATTTGAGTGCACAAGTGAAGATAGTCGGAACACAATATTTTTTTTATTTAGAAAATTTTGAGATAATTATAAATTTTAATTTTTATTTCTATTGTTCAATATAAAACTAATTAAATAAAATGAGAAGGTGCATGAATAGTAAAAATTTTAATCTAATCTTGTTAAAGCATAATTTTTTTACAAAAATACTTAACTTTTCTTCAGTATCAAGTGGACAGGTAAGAAGAAAAGAGTATTACGTATGTTAAAGTATTTATGTACGCGTGAACGTAGTTCATTTTGTTAGAAGCTCATTTAGGAATCTGAAGGTACACATGTACCTAACCAGATAAATATAATTTTGGTATTTTATAATTCTGGCAATTTAGTAATTCTAAATTGTTATAAAGAACATATAACTTAATTTACTAGAGTGACAATTAAAGCATAAAAAATTCGATTTTTGCATAGTACCTACATGTTGTTATTTTTAAATTTTGTGTTTTTTTACTATTGCAAATTAATTGTTTTCAGCCCAGCTGATTTTGTTTTGGTATATTCTTAAAACATTTTGTAAAAGTTCTTTGTCAAAATTCCATATTCTTTGCAATTTTTTAATACAAATAATCCATTTCATGTATGTGTCTCGTCATTCGTCATTCTATGTATGTATGTGTCTACTAATTTATCCATAACATTATACTAAGCAAATAGAATATTTTTTTCTGTTTAATTACTTTTTTGTAATAATATGTCAAAGTTTATTATATTAAATTTTTCAGTATTATATTCAAATTTTGATCGTTGAGCTAAAGCTTCCACCTGAATTATGAAACCGTAACTCTAGCAGAATTTTTTCTACCTAACATGGTTTTTATGAAAATCAGTATCAAATCAATGATTTAACACAAATGTCAATTGAAAGGATATTTGGAAATTTGAATTTATTACTAATTCAAGAATTCAATGTGAGGAAAAGGAGAAAAAAGAAATACGTATAAAAGTTTTAATTTATAGTATATTATTTCCATACATCAACAACTATGAATGTATATTTAAATTGCCTTACATATACACACTTATATCCACAAAACTCAAAATTATTTCAATTTTAAATAAATTTCTTTACAAGATACATACATATATTTTTTTGTATAGATTAAGGTTAAATAAACATTGTATTTTCATTTATTTTGTGTTTTTTTAATTTTTCTAATATATTGATTATAAAACTAAGTCCGTACCGTATTTTAAAACAACATAGAAAAAACGATAAAATCCATCATGTTCTCAATAAATTATCAGGAAGTTTATGCTCGAATGTTCAAAATGCACAGCAATCAATTCTCAGTCAACTATGTGTTATGATGTTTATTCTTTTAATATAATTTCAGATCAACAGTAATGATGTACCGAGGATTGACGAGCAGTGGTTAAATGCAAAGCCATTCAATAAACTTCCAGGTCCTTCCAAATATGTATTTCCACTAACTTTCTTACCAGGAGGTACCTTCTAATATTTTTTTAATTCTTTGTTAATTTGGCACATACCAATAAATAAGTACCATTTTTAAATAAATTTAAGTAAATTTTCCATTTTTTAAAATACTTTTCTTAATTTTTTCCTTGTATTTTACTGAAATTAACTTATATGATCTTACAGCAATTTTTTTATTTTCACCGCACTCTCGAACTTAAAGGCGAATCACATTGAATTTTTAACGCTTGTAAAATCCATTTCTTTTTTTATTTAACAATATAATAAATTTAAAAAAATTAAAAGAACGCTATTTTTTTATGAATAATTGTTTCATTTAAACTTTAAACTTTAAAATAGGGAGCATGCATAACAAAACCCTCTTAGATGTTCATGCATTTATAAGAAAAAAATATGGCTCAATCAGCTTACTAAAGGGAAACTTCGGACAACCAGACGTCGTTTTTACATACAATCCTGAAGATTTTGAGAAAGTTTACAGAACCGAAGGTGTATGGCCGATGCGTATTGGTTTGGAAACATTTCAGCATTATCGTTTAAATAAAAGACCAGAAGTTTTTAAAGGAATTGGCGGTTTGGTTACAGAGTAATTATCGTTAAATTAATGCACAGATTTTGATTTTGTTTTGAAATTTAAATTTAAATTTATTTTAGGTTTTTACAATGCATCAATTTAGTATTTTTTTATATGTAGAAATTCATTTGTTTTTATTAACATATTTTTAATTTTAGGCAAGGAAAACCATGGCATGAAATTAGAACAAAAGTGAATCCAGTTTTAATGAAAACGCAAACAGTGAGACATTCTTTGCAACAAATCGATGAAATTGCTACTGAATTTTTGAACAAGTACGAATTATTTTTCTTATTGAAAATTGCAAACCAACTTCAATTTTATGACAGAAAAATATGACTTTTTTTGAAAATAATCTGTAGTAGGATAATATTAATTTGTTAGAATTTTTTCTTTGCTCTAGAATTCCTCAATTACGCAATCCAAAAACAATGGAAATGCCAAATAATTTTTTTGATGAAATAAAAAAGTGGTCATTTGAATCAATAAGCACTATAGCATTAAATCGTAGGTTAGATTTAATCAGGTCTAAAAACCCAGATCCGAAAGCACTTCGTTTAGCTAATGCAATGCAGACATTTTTTCAATTATCATTTGAATTCGATGTTTTGCCATCATTTTGGAAATATTATGAGACAAAAAAATTTAAAAAGCTGATGTCGACATTTGATGAAATAACATTAATAACAACAGACTATATCGAAAGAGCAATTTTAGATTTCAATACGAAATCAAACGAGGAAGCTAAAAGCGTATTAGAAAAGTTATTAGTACTTGATAAACAAATTGCCTTTATAATGGCTATGGATATGTTAATGGCAGGAATCGATACGGTAAGAAAATTCGAGAACTTATAAGTTTAAAATAAAGTAAAAACCAATTGATGATTGCAGACTTCTTCAACATTAACTACAGTCTTATACAATTTAGCTAAAAACCCTAGTAAACAAAATAAACTTAGAGAGGAAATAATGAAAATTTTTCCAGAAAAAGACTTTCAATGTACAGTACAAAATACAAAAAATATGCCATATTTAAGAGCTTGTATAAAAGAGGGGCTGAGAATAACACCTATTACACCTGGAAACTTTCGAATGACTGGACAAGATTTGGTTTTGAGCGGTTATCAAGTACCAAAAGGTACAGGTGTTATAATGGGTGTTATGGCTTTATCTAATGAAGAAAAATATTTTCCAAAAAGTCATGAATTCATACCAGAGCGGTGGTTAAAAGAGGAACCGTTTGCTTCTGCTAAAAAAACATCCAATCCATTTGTGTATTTACCATTTGGTTTCGGCCCAAGGACTTGTATAGGTAAAAGAATTGCTGAAATGGAGCTGGAAACACTTATATTAAAATTAATTCGAAATTATAAAATTTCTTGGGAGCAACCGGATTTAAAATACACAAGTAATTTAATTATCATTCCAGTATCACCCTTAAAATTTAAATTTGAGGAAATTTAGTTAATCTGATTTGATTTTGTAAGCTATCAATTGAGATCAATTTAAACAAATATAATCTTTAGTTTTTTGAAATTTTTATAATATTTATGAACGATATTTAGATCTTAAAATACAAAAATTTTCCTGAAAATTATGAGGTCGGGTTTAAGAACCAACTGTGTGTTAGTGTGAATCGAATAATATCGTTTTTATTAATTTAATACTAACTAACTTTTAAATTAGCTAGTAATTAAAAAATTTAAAGCTAACATTACTAAAAGAAAAGGAATTTGCAATGTTTGTAGACTAATTAGCCTTTGCATAATAAATTTGTAAAAAACCATTTTGCTTTTTTATTGAAAGAAAAGTCTTAATATGAAAATATTTTGATAAGTATTCAAAAACTGTGATAATTTAAAGAATTATTGTCTGGCCACTTTCTTCTACAAGCGAAATGAAGGATATTTATTATTACTATAAAAATATCAGAAGTAATTATAATTTTAATAAGAAACAATAGTGTTCTATACCACTATACTAGCATTTTATGACAGTGTTTGTATTATTGTTATAAGAAATATTATAGTGTGTTTAAGTGTAAGTACTTACAGATCGAAAGATGTAAGTCATTTTTAATTTTTATTGTAAAATCTAATCGATCAAAACAAAATAATAAGTATTGTAAAATGCAAAAACATTTGCCTTTAACATTTTATATTTAGAGCTTGTATATCTTTATAACTTTACGTCTAAGTATAATGAAAACGATTTATTTAAATAATTCTCTTACTACTATAATATTTTAAGCTTTACTCGTATCCAGCCTGTGCTATAAATGAAGATGGTAAAAAGGTATATTTTTGGAAAAAGAATTTTTGTGAAATGATCAAATCTTTAATAAAATAAAATTCGTTAGGTATGCAATAAGGACATTAGGTAACTTGTTCTATAAACAGTAAAAAATAACTAGAGGAAACAATTCCAAAATAGTGAAAACACTTTTTTAAAAAACAAATTTTTTTCATTTGAAAAGCAATACATATTTGAATATGTATATTTAAACAAATACGTATATTTGTTTAAATGTACATATTTCTCGTGCTCAACGCTTTATCAAAGTTGACTTTCTTCTATTGCGCAGCATACACACTTCTGTTAAAAGAAAGTCAGCTTTAAAGAAAGTGCGTATGTTGCGCACGAAATGTTAGCAAAATAATAAGTAAAGTGTTATTTTTTGAATTAAAGTAGTTTTTTTCTTCTTTTTAAAAAAGGTGTTTATGGAAAATATTCCGATTATTATCAATTGATTTTATAAAATCCTTTATGATTTTAAATTTTTTAAAACTCAAAGTTTAAAAAAAAACGCCTCCGTCATATTTTTATAAAATATGATTAATAAAAATATTTTCGTCTCAGTCACATATTTTTGTTAAAACTTTTTAGTAATCCCACAGTTCCAAATTTCAGTATAACTACAATTTGCTACTGATCCAAAATGTAATGCAAAAAACTATCACAATGCAGTATGCTCAAAAATGCATAACTTGAGTAGTTACTATGCAGAGAAAAACAGACAAAGCAACCAAAAGATTTGCTCATTTGGAATACATGTCAGAAAAATGTTAACAGTGCACCGCGACCAGAAAATATAGATCTATTGTGCTCCCCAACGACCAGGAGCGGGACAAAGCCCTATAACACTCGCTCGAGACCAACCCTCCTGATGAATTCGAGCAACTTTGAAGAGCCAGCAGACCGCAGCTCCGCCCGCGTGAGTACGTAGTTCCCCAGTACCTCTCTTGTCATTCCCTTAAAAGATCCTCGTCCTGTCCGCAACACATGCATACATCTGTCCGAGAACTCCTCGTCCTGTCCGCAAAACCTGCATACATCTTTACTTCCCAGTCCAAGCCTATTAAGGTGAGCCCTAAAGCGACAGTGCCCTGTCAAGACCCCTGTGAGAATTCTCACCTGATTCCTGCCGAGCCACATTATTTTCCTAAAGCGGCGCTGGTCATAATTTCCCAGAAGCTCCATAGCCTGTCGAAGCCCTGGAAGACACCTCCAGAGCTCCGAACGCCACCTCTCTATTTCCTTGCTTAGTTCTCCTCGAATCGTATGTGGTCCGATTCCGCAGAAGGGCTCTGGCCCAAAAAGAGGTGTGCCTGCTCGCCAACGAGTCCGCCGCCTCGTTTCCTTCTATGCACACCTGTATAGTGTGCAGACGCTCAAGCTTTCTTCTCCTAGTGAAGGGCATCAGGCTTTTCTTGCTAGGATTGAGTTTGAGTCCCACAGTGCCACACCAGGCCTGTGCCACCCGCAGGCCTCTTTGCACAACATCGCAAAGAGCCTTCTTAAACTTCCCCCTTGCGATGATAACAATACCATCAGCGTATGCTTGAACGCCTATATTCGGCGGCCAAGCACTTCAAGTAGGCCATCCACAACCAGACTCCACATCAGTGGTGAGAGGACATTAGAGGGCCAAGCTGCTCCTGCATATTCTTATTAAGAACAACAATAACTCCTCCAGGCCACGCTGCAGAAGTACTGGTGATATCCCATCCACTCCTGGAGCCTTAAAAGGCTGGAAATTGCCAATAACCCATCTCACCCTCTGATATGTAAAAATATCTGCCGCCCTTTTCCAATCCTCACGACATGGGGACCTACTTTCCCATGTCATCCGATTTTGGCCAAAATTACCGCCAGGAAAATGCGTCTCCAAAAGAAGAAGAGTCCTTTGCTCTTCATTCTCCGTGTAACTATCATCCGGCCTCCTCAGAGATGCCGCGATTAAAGCGTTGTCCTTTGCCAACGCCCTATGTAGCCTAACAGCCGTCGAAGTTTCCGTTATTCCTTCGCAAAAGGATCTGAAGCTTCTACGCCTGGCCCTGCGGATCTCCTTGTTTTAGGTGATCAATTTGTCCCATACCGGTCCCAGGTCCCTTCTCGTTTGGCTTTATTGAAAAGCCTGCGAACCTCACCCCTCATGTTCTATAACTTTCGGGTCCACCATGGTGCATCGCTTGCCACCCCCGAACTGCTAAGGAGACAGTCCGACTCAAATGACTCGACCATGGCCCTCCCAACCTCGTTAATTCCTCGACTATGGCTTCTGCCAGCCGGATTAATTCCTGCTGGCTCAGCATCGTCGAAGGGTATTCCCCCGACAGGACAGCTACCTTGACAGCTTTAGTAGCCACGGCGTAACTTGTCCCGGGCTCCGCTTGTGATGTGGAGGGTATGGGGTGCGTTCCCATTTCCTTTTTTTTGCCCAGTTCTTCTCCTTTTTGCCTGAGCATCTTGGGGTGTTAAGGACTCTCGTCCTCTTTTCCTTCTTTGAATTGACGGAGGAAGGTCTCCAGCCGGTCTCTTCCGATCCTCAGCTAGTTTCCTGGCCTCATCAGGGGATTTTTCCTGCTCCAGGAAACAAAGGTACCATCTGACACCGGCTCCGCTGAGTCCCCGACGTTTAGGGTCATCTAAGCCCCCAAGTTGGTCCAAAGGGGGCAAGTGGGGTTGTTTCCTACGGCTTATCTGTACTGCAGCTGTTGCAGAGGTCATAATGGAGGTTAGTCTCCATTTTCTCCTCAACACCACCCCTTCTTGTGCGATCGGCCTTGTCCCGATGAGCTCCTTCCTCAGGGGTTGTTAAATCGGTGTTCTCCCGAATTTTGACGGTCCTGTTCAGTTTCCTGTTTGTCTTGTTTTTGTTGTTTTGTTTGTTTATTTTCTCCATTTCCTAATCCCACGAGTAGCCAGGGTAAGGGTGGTCCACTACGTCAGAGTCCCGCATGACGCAGTAAGGTCATAATACTCCCTGAGGTGACTCGGTATCATGGAGACTCCGTTCGCGACAGCCAGTATACCCACCGGTTGCCAACTAATCCACTGGGCACAGGTCATGTAACACCACTGTAGTGGGGGTGGTGCTTATTGAAGATAGACCAGTGCCATTGCTTGCACCTCGCTCTCGATCTATTCGGCATGGTTGAACCTAACCGACACCACCATTGCAGCGTGCGCCGACACAGCTCTCGAGTTCATTGGCCCTACATAAGCCACCTAACCACGTCAAGGTAGAATCTCACGAAACGAGAAAGAAGCTTTAACATAATGGTTGAATTCGGCGGGTTAATAAATAAGTTAAGATAAATAATTTTATTAGCGACCGCATTGTGTAAAGGTAGGTATGTTCGGGGGGAAGCATAAATAAACTATTTTTAGATAGGTGTCGGTCTGTCTGTCTATCTGACCACATCAAATCTTTTTATAATACATTTTTTATAATACTTAAAATACATTTATTTTATATTGCTTTCAAAATTTTTATCACGCGAGCTGTTATTAACCTGCGTTAACATTAATAAATATATCTTTAACTATTATATATACTAATTTAATAATTCACTTAACACTTTAGTTTTTAGAAATTCTATGGGAGCTTGTGGTGTGTGCAGCGGCTTTTTAATTGCATTATTGTTGAAAAAATCTTATTTTTTTCCTTTTCCAAAAGAAAACGTTACGTTGTTTGTTTCTGCCGCAAGTTTTTAATTCAATTTCAATGAATACTAAACTCTTTTTTTAGTTTTATATTCAATTCATATTCAAACAATTTAAAAAACTATATCAGGGAGCCCTTGAAAAAATGTTCATTATTTTTTATTTCTCACAAATCATTAATCTATGTGCCATCCCATTTAATTTTTCTCTTATGCAAAGTTTAATATTGTTAAGGCTCAACTTTATTTCAAATCATCATTAATTTTAGAATTATTAAGTAATTGATGGTGAACGGTTCTGTATGAATTGATTTGAGTGAATGTATATTAATAATCATTAATTATTTAAAAATTAAAAAAAAAAAACAATCAAAAAATAATTAATAAAATTTACCGAACTTAAATTTTTATTAAAATATTACGTGATAAGAAACGAATTTATACTTATAATAGTTAACGAAATTTAAAAGGAAAAGAAATTGAAAAAAATAGTTATTTTTTACCTTTTAAAAATTTATGTGATTTTATATCAAATTAATTGAATGGAGAAATAATTATATAAATAAACCTTATTTTAGTTTTTATTTGGCGTTTTAAAACAATCAAAGAGGTTGATAACTAAAATAACACAACATTAAAAATAATTTTTTGGATTTAAATATACATGTACATATGTATATAGAAATTAAATAAAAGCTTTGAAAAAATTTCGTATAGTAAGTAATTTAAAAAATTTATTATTTAAATAAATTTCTTCTTTAATAAATTAATACATACACACACATTAAATAATTTGAATATTTTAAGGCAAATTTGTGCCATTTTTGTTAATTTATGTAGGTATACACATTTTAATTTTTTAACATTCAGGATAACTGTATAAAAAAATTCATAATTTCTTCTTTTTGTACAGTACGATACTTAAAGTCAAAAGAAAAAAATTAAGTTGTGTGCGATACAAATCACGTTGCTTGCATTATTTAAAAAAATGGCTGACATTTTCTGACATTTTCAAATAATGTAAATGGAAATTGAATAATAAGAAAAATGAAACCGAAATGAAATTAAAACCGTCAAAGTTTAGTGATAAACTTTTGCTCCTTATTTTTTTGATATCTCAATGATTTATTTATTTTCTTTTATTTAATTTTAGATTTGCTAAAGTAAAACAAAATTATGATTACAGAAAAAAAGTCTTAAAAATATAAGTATTTTTTTTAATGAGCTCCAACAATTGTATAGAACGAAACTGTATTTTTATAAATGTTAATAAAATATTAATTGCAAACATGAGAAAAATATGAAAAGCGCTATAGTTTGAATTATTTAAACTTTGCATGAAATCTTTCAGAAGCTTTATAATCCGTACAGCCTTTTTTTCACAAAAGGTACCTGAAATCTAACAAATATATTTTTTTGACCCATTAAAATTATGATTAAACTTAATGTAACTTTGAAATCGCTAGGCAAAACATTATACATTCGTACTAAAAGTTATGCACAAAACTTTTGCAATAAGTTTTATGATAGTTGTTTTCATCCTTAAAATTTGTTTCCTTAAATTGTACAAATAGGAGTGTAAAATATAACAATCTTATAGTTCACATAGGTTAAAGTTTAAGGAAAATTTAAAGGTCTTTTACTGTTAAAAACTTAATAATACTGAACACTAAAACTATGAAGTGGTATATGTTTGTATTTGAAACATGTTTTATATATGGTTATACATATACATATAAATACTTTTATGTTGTAAGCATTTTATTATTTTATTGTTGCCAATGTAAACAACCAAAACTTTGCCATTCAGTATTTTTACAATATAGACACATTTTATGTAGATCGACCCCAATTATATTTATTCAACCCCAATCTGAAAACAAAAGAGAACTAATAGCTATTTAAAAACTTATAAATAATTTTTGATTAATTTAACATAATGTATGAGTTTAATGACATTTACTTCTATTACTTAAGTTTTTTTCTAAAAATCTTGAATATATGTATATCCTAAATGCACCCCTTCCCTTTGTATATAAAATGTATTGGCAATACTTTAGTACATACAATCAATATCATTTTATAAATCATTCCTATAATGCACAAATGTAATAAAATAAATCTTTATACTTTTGACATATGATTAGTAAATGTGTATATACTTATGTATTTTTTTTCCGAAATGTTATCACAATAAATAAATTTAAAAATAAAATTGATATACCATTTTTTCAATCCCTGAAAATTGCTTAGAAATTTAAAAATTAACAAATGTTATTTAATAAAAAAAATTTAATTTTCAAAAACCTTCACCCTGACATTCAAAGTTTTATTTTGTTCACTAACGGAAATATTTAAATATGAATATACATACATATGTACCTATGTACATGCAAATATAATGTATAATGGTAAATTTTAGGCAGACACTAAATTGGATGGAGTGAAAACTTACAAAGTATGTATTATGTAGTCAGAAATATTCTCTATCATATTTGATATAATATTTTGGCCAAAAATGTTTTACATTTTAAAGCCCTGGAAATGAAATTCCAAAATTTTTAAGCATATGTATATTATATTGTACATATATTATAATATCAGATTAAAAATGACAAGTATGTTTCATGACATTATGTGAAATGACATGTTGTGATTTGAAACAATAGTGATGAAAATTTTATTTTTTATAATGTATAATTCTTAAATATTAAAAATAAAGAACTCTTATTAGAATTCTTTTAATTAAAAGAATTCATAAAAAATTATTAGCGTAGCTTGTAATTAATATGAAATCATGATTAAAAATTAGTTTTTTTTACATACTTTTTATGCAAATCTTCAAAGGAACTGTATTTTTGTACATACATATATCAGTAATAAAAATTAACAATAATTACAGGGGCTTACACATATAATTTTTTTTAACCTCATATCCATTTTGTAAATATTTTAATTATTTATCTTTAAATATTTTTCATTTTTTCTATAAATCTGCAATGAAATAAATTGCATAATATTATAAGTACATATAAACAAGTAAGATACAAGAAAAACGACTTTATACAACATCATATACAACATCTGAATATACATAATTGTATGCATATAATTATGTATGTAAATTTTAACCATTTAGAAAACAACTTTTCCTACATTTTTGTGTGTTTCCATATACATAGTTTTGACTTGGTAACTAGACTTGGCAATCAAATATTAACAGAAAGTAAAAAACAATACTCATCGTTTAAAATACAAAAATTCCAAATAATGACATAAATAACTAAAATCTATTTTTGCAACATTACGGCGAGTATAATTACATATATTCATATACATATACATATACTTATATTCTAATTAATTAAAGCACAAACTATTATATATAAAATGCTTCTTATCATCGTAGACATTTTGGTTGAATTTATGGTGGATACTATACAAAAAAAATTGTTTTTTTTTTTTTGCTAAATACACTTGCACCTCGCTTTATATCTTATCACAAAATTATTGAAAAATATAATAATTCTTTTAAAAATAATATTAAATAATTTTCGTATGTTCATAAGCATATTTATAGTATAATACTTGTATAGCAGTAAATAAATATGTATATATAATATAATAAGGTTTAAAGTTCAATTATAAGGTATTCGTCATTTTAATATAAAAGAGAAGACATAATAATTACAGAGAGCACAAAAACATTAGTTGCGTTTGAAGATTTTTATGTATAGATTGATATACATGGGTACATAATATGTTTTATAAATTGAGTACGTAAAGCAATTGATGTGCTTATACATATGTATACAGCCACTCATTAACCGAAAACATTTTATTTTTTTTTGTCTGAAAGTATGGTAGACGTCTGAAGGTTTATAAGATCATCGTTTATAAATCTTATGATCATCTTATTACTTATGTATGTACATACGTACGTATTATGTTTGTGTATACCGTTCAACAATTTTATAATATAAGTTTTAGATTTTGTTTTATTTAAACATTTTAAATTGCGATAATAATTGAAAAAAAACTATCTTAATGAAACAATTGCAAAAATTTAATTATTGAAAAACAACGATGACTTAAAGAGGAACAAAGTTTGAATTTAATTTGATAGGTAATATAAAGAATTAATCAATTTACTTACATTAATTACTATAATGTAGGTACGTACATATGCCGAAAACAAAAGGTCTTACTGACATATTTACAACGTTTAGATATTTTAAAAGTTTTTCCATTACTGATAAACAAAAAAACTGTATAAAATATTTATTTTATAATATTGTAATATTTAAATTTATAAAATAGTTTTTGTTACAAAAACATATGTACATGATAGTATACAAGTAATTCTACTTTAAAAGCTCTGTATGAAATTTGCCGTTCTATCTTGAAGAACCTGAAATATCGATAAACCTCACATCAGCTTGATTTCATAATAAACATTAAATAGTTATTTACCTTTCTAAATGAAATGAATTTCCCATTCCATGCCAATCATAATCCCATACTGTATATAACTCCGGATACATACTTATGTATACAAAACATTACTTAAAATCATAAATTCAAATAAAAAAAAATTTGAAAATGTATTCTTTTTACTTTGGATTTGACGGGCATATAATTAAGTTTTTTGTTTTACGGGCATTTTGATAGTTTGGTTTTTATGGGTACTTTTTTAGATAGCATATAATACGTAGTTCTATTTAATTATCGGATTCCAAGAAAAAAATCTGATGTAATTAGTATACGTATACATATATCTGACCGCGCACTGAAACAAAATTGTGAAAATGTCCGTTGAACATTTCTTTCAAATTTTAAGGACACTAGTAAGCTCCTAATTAACATACCTAAACAAAGATAGACTTAGCCCGTAATAAATGTTTAATGTTGCCCGTAGAATGTTTTCTTAAAAATGATCAGAAATATAAAGTCGTTTTTTAGTAAACGTCAGTTTCCGAAGCCTAACACATTCCAAAATTTGAACAATCTCTGATATGACCAAAGTAAACTCTTATATCTATATGTAAATTTCCATCCAAATCGGGTCTACCAAAATTTAGATATGTACATGAGTTTTCACATGTAGACACGCCAAAAAACCAACATGCCATCATTTCGTTAAAATAGTTTATTTAGACTTCTTTATGGAGGAGAAGTGTATTTCCATCGAAAAATCGAATTGCGAAATTCCGTGCCATCATATTACCTTCCTTATTGTATGCAATGCAATGAAATAGTAGGCATTTACAAAAATTAACTAAACGTTTTTCTCAATAAAGTTATTGAGAGTGATCTTTTACCGCTTGCTTTGCTTGTAGAAACTGTTAAATAAATTTTTAACAAGTTCCAGAAAGTATTAATTTTGAATCGAACACAATCTATTTGCAGCGTAGTAAGGACTCGATAGGCGGGAGACTCAATGGTATTTACACAAATCGAAACGCGTGGATGTGGATGCATAAGCATAGGAATGGTCTTCCCATGTTTACGCGGCCGTAACGGTACGGGTATAAAAATTAAAAAATTAATTTTTGGGCTTTAAAAATAACGTGTCCGTATTCAATATTCGATGGCATTCACACAATTTTATTCAATTAAACTAACTTCGTAAAAGTGTTCAATAATGTTGTTTTAATAAGCCGTAAAAAAATTAATTTTGATAATACGCAAATTTTTTAATACCATAAATGCAGATGCATAATATATACATGTATATGTGTATATACCTTCATACATATTATATAAAGTTGTAGGCTTACAAATTTATTTAACAAGTGATTTCACTAAAAGTGCTTTTCAAAGGTTATCTTTAAATGTTTACTATTCAAACAGTTCCCATTTCAATATTTACTATAGTATAAATATCGTTATCACTTTAAACTTAACCAAGCAATTAATAAACATTAGACAAGCAAATTTGTGTTATCAATATGTCTAATAAAATATTTTTTTTTATTTGTATTTTATTTAAAAGCGTTTAGCAAAAAAATCTAATTTAGTCCAAAAATAGAAGTTCCTTGAGCATTTTGTAGTTAAGTATCTTAAAAAAATGTCAGTAGTCCAAAGGAAATCAACAAAACATCAAGAAAAAACATCATCAACATTATCAGGAACGAAACAAAAAGGTGTTCAAGTAAAAATGAGTACAGCTAAAACAGTAAGCGAAACAATTGATGATACATCTGCAACAACGTCGGGGTCTTCAAATAATATCTATGATAAAATTTACAGTTTGGTTGGTAAAGGTGCATCTACAATTGTTGGTCAATTTACAATTGAAAAAGTAGATAATTTACTTACTATTGTGGAAAAAACAGCAAAGTGGAGTCTTCCTGAAGGTGAAACAATTAGAAAAAACTTTTTAATATTTTATTTCATTGAGTTTTCCTTTATAAATTTTTTATGAAATGAATGTAAAATTTTAAAAATATTTTATTTAGGTTCAAACAGTTCAGAAAATGTAAAAGATAACAAACCATCGAAACTTGAAAGACCCTGCGGATGGGTATCATTTTTATTTTTGATTGTTACATTAAGATGCGCTCGTGTGGGCTTATCGTTTGGTTCAATTATGATCGGTAATGAACCAGTTACGCCCCAAACAATGGTTAACTTTTTACAAACGCGGCGAAGAAAACTACGTGCTATAAAATATCAAGGTTTAAAATCATTACGCAATAAACAAAGAGCAAATGAAGAACGGCCAAAACGTACAGGAATTATGGAGCAATTAACTTCTATTTTTAATTTAGCAATTTGTCAACCAGGTACATTTATTAATTGTAATAACCAAAACCTATCATCAGTTGCATCAGCTGCTACTTCTACAACAGCTACCAACAGCGCAAGAATTGTAAAAAACGAAAAAAACACCAATAATACTGGCGAAGACAATGTTAAAAATGTAAGATTTTCAATTTTTAAAGAAATTTAAAATACGCAATGCAAAACTTATTTATTATGGTTATTAGTTCAAATTTTAAACAAAATATATACATATGTGTATTTAGGTGATCGCATCCAATAACGTACAAAAAGTTGAAGCACAAAAATATTCAGAAGAAGACGATGATAGAGTAAACGAATGTGATAGTGATGAAGATCTTCACTGCACCCAACTTCTCGATAAGTATGGCGATAAAAGCAGTGATTTTGATGATCCAGATTATACTCCAAGTGCTGAAGATGGAGAAGCAGAATCCTCAGAAATAGATGAAGACAGTGATGATGTTGATATTGATAAAGGAGTTTCTGATGATGATACGATTAATTATGAATTTTTGTCCCAAGAGGTAAGTATTTCTCAAATGGTTTTTGGATATATTTGTATGTATTCTTTCATTAAAGCAAATTTTTGAGTTTTTTCTTTAAAACATTAGTATGAAGTAGCGCCTTCAAATCAATTAATGATCTATTCAATGTCTTTAAACCGTTATAACAGTTTTAGCTATTATATTTTTTATATATGTACTTGCCTTTGGTATTTCGTACGTGATTCCTTAAAATAGTTAAATTTAAATTGAGTTTCGGCTTCCAAATTATTAATATTTAAAAAATATTAAATAAGAACGCTTCAAATGAAAGTGTATGAAAGGTTATTTAAAAACTAGTAATGTTACAAAATAAATCCTTAAGTACCAAATTCTTAAAAAATCAATAAGTGCATATTCTTAGTGTATTTTTTTTTTTGCACATACACACATATATATAATACTTAGATTTGATTTTTTATGTTTGCTTATTAAATAATATTCATTAATTTGTTTTTTTTTTTATAATTTAAGAAACTAAAAAATCTTTCGGGAACACATTCAACTGAAACAAAAGACGAAACCTCAACAATTGAAAATACAATGCATAAAGAGAATGGACCGTTAACTTTGAGCTACGGAGCTGACGATAATGGGGGTAATGAAAAAATAAATGTACCATCAGGAAATGAAACTAATGAATCGGAAAAACAAATGAATTCATCGTCATCATCACCATCCATACTGCCACTTAGAACGTCTCCAACGCTATCAGATTCAAGTCCTACAAAATCAACTGCAATTAATCCAGTTCGCGTTTCAGCAAAAATTGGTAATGGAGTTGTTCATCCTTAAAAATAATAATCATTTTTTTACTGAATTTTTTTTTGTAAATTTATCATTTGATTTCCAAATATGAAAATATCAAAAATGAAAAAACTTACTTTTGAAGTTTTGTCATACTTCCATTTTGTTTACATTCACCACAATATTTTTTTTTAAATATTTTTGATAATTTTTGTATGAAAACAAACAAAACTGATGGTTATTTTTTTAATTTTTTAATCATTGATCATTTTTTATATATTTTTTTGTCAGTTCATTGTTATTATTATAATCTGTTCTTATTAAATTTCTTCTTAATTAAGGTTTGTTTTATAATTTATCTTTTTCGAGTAATATAAATTATAGATAATATTTTTTTTATTATTATTTTTATTCTATTTTTGAGGGGAGCACTTTGAACAGGGATATTACATATTTTGTTATTTGTTTTGTTATTTGTTTGTCATTTCCGCTTTCTAATACGCATATCATTGTCAAAGTTGTGAGTAGTCTTAATTTCAATATTTTTGAAAAATATGACACCTACACGGTTATTAGAAAAGCCACTGTAAAGTATTGAATTAATATTCAAAAAATTCTTCAATGGTTGATAATTTTTCCGAAATATAATTTTTTTCTAGGTGTATGAAAAGAAAACTCCCTTTTATTCGAATTAAATTCGGATTTTATTCAAATTATTAAAGAATTATAAGAAAATCAGCTTTGATAAAATGCGTATGTAGCGCACGAAATATATTAGCAAAAATAAAAAGTATTTATTTGCGAATAAAAGGGAGTTTTCTTTTCATATACCTAAAAAAAATTTGAATTAGTAATTACTTTTATCAAAGTAATTGTTAAAAAAATATGAAATAAATATAAGTATAATTTTATATCATAAAAGGTTAGCTATAACATAATATCCAAAACTAAAATTTTGTTTAAAAAGTAAAGTAAATCTTCAAATGCTTGTCATTTCAACAAAACTAAATGAAATGTTATCCTTTTATTTGTTAAATAGTGTATTTACGCTAATTTTTAATTTATTTTACTACTCCTACAATTCAGAATTAAGATAAAATTTTAAATAAAAATAGTTTTTTTTTATAGTCAATATAATTGAAAATTAGAGTAAAAACTAATGCCATATATACATATCTATCAGACCTCCAACCTGAAATTATTTACCGAAATATTGAATCGGCAAAAAATAAAACAAAAACAATTTTTATGTTTTATGTTTTCGAAGTATGCCGATTGAAATATTTTTTTCATTTTTTTGTGAAATTTTTGAGTAATCTTTATAATTTTCATTTTATTTAGTAAAGTTTTAATAATTATAGGTTATAATTATTATTTTTTTGTTTTTTTCTTCAACTTTATTTCTTATTCAAAAATATTACTCTCCAATTCAGTACCCTTCCATTTGGAAGACAAGAAAGGTTGTCTGCGCTAATAATTGCAATTTTTATTTAAATGCATTTTTCAGATGGAATTTACTAACTGATTTTTTTAAAATATAAATTTTAAATTTAAAAAATATGTGGAATCAGTAGGGACAAAAATATTGATAAATTTCTTTCACATAAATAAATTCCGATACCGCTTCCATTAAAACTCTATATAAATTTGGAATTTATTTTTGATTTGCTCTCTATGCTAAATGGCCTGATAGATATATGTATTTGGCATTAGTAAAAACTATTATGCTGCTTTAAGTGATCTTTATTTTAAATCAAATAAAATTTTAAAATCATTCGATTTCCAAATGGATTTATTACGACTTCGTAATTTTAACTTTATAAATGCAAAAGTACCTTTACAGCTTTTATTAAATCGCTCAACAAATATGCATGGCAAATTGCACGTAAAATCGTTTGTTTTTATTATTGTCATTTTATATTACCTACATAACTAGGTATTATGTATTCGCCAACACATATCACTTACGCTTCATGTTTTTGTGAAAAACGTGCATAAACTAAAACGCATTTCCAAAATAGATTATGAAAAATGGTTTCCTGTTTTTGTGTCTTGTAACGCATTTTTAGTGTTTTTAGAAATTGGAATTTCTAAATTTTCTTAAAATAGTTGCACGTATTAATATGATTTTAGCTCAAAATTGCAATAATAAAGGAGATGATGAAATATATGAAAATTTTTATGACCCTGTAGATGTTTATGATTATGATATTCAGAGAGGTAATAAATGTGATTTCTAATATATGTAGATGTTTTTTAAATACGTAAGTTACATATGTATATATATACATATTTGGTGTCATTTATTAAGTGTGTTTAATATACTTACTTTGTTTTTCTATTCTTAGGTCTTCGGGTTAGATGCCAAGATTTAGCAAGATTATCATACGGTGAAGAGTGTTTTTTCAGTCCAGTAGGTGTGTTTGATTTTATATTCATAAAAAAAAACAATTATTGCAAATTTTTCAATTTTATGAATTTTAAACACTTTAACGTAAAAATATTTGCACAATGTCTAATACAAATTTCTTATGATTTTATAAATACATTTATAAATCAACTAAGCAGTAATTATAAAAATTTTGAATTAAATTCTTTCCCACAATGTTAAGAGCGTCACAATCTCTGTTCAAAACGACAGAAATTTTATGTATAAGCGCACTAATTATCAATCATTGCATTTTCTAAAAGTTACGTACATATGTACATATTATTGTTTCGCTGACTTATTGAAATTGTAAAACAAGTGTTATCATTTCACGAGCGCTAGGCAAATGCTTACACTGGAGTATTGTTTTAACTCGAATTAACACTGAATATTAAAAATTACAAAAAATTTTTTGAAATTTTCGAAAATTTATATAAAATTATTTTCACAATAAAAAAATTCCTGTAAATTTTTTTCCTTTTCATTCAATTTGCATACGAAAAACAAACGACTTTCATTGAAATCTTGCAAACTTTTGTTTTTAAATTGAAAGATTAGTTACATTTTTGTTTAACTTTTTCTATCACTTTTGATTTCAATAAAATTGAGCCGTAGAATATGTAAATCAGGGCCGAATTGAGATCTATAAATGTTAACAAATTAAACTATTTTCTATTTCGTCTTATATGTTTACGTATGTATGTACATATTCGTTTAAGTGTTAAGGAATAATAGTAATGCAATTCGTATTCTCTTATGCCGTACGAGAAGTGAAAACTTCGAAAGATACAATGAGACAAAAAAGTATTAGAAGGTTATAATCGCCCAAAAACTGGTCTATCGTTGAGTATTTACATATTATGTATGCATTTTTGAAAAAACAATGAGAGTTATTAGAAAAATTAGTAAATATTACAAAGCATCGTTTATTAACATACGTATGTGTTAAAACATAGAATATTTAGTACAAATTTTTTTAATGAAATCATTGAATCATTCTTAAATTTTACCTCAAAAAAATTATTATGTTCAACTAGATTTTAGTACTGCATTGGTTCGTCTTAATTGAATTCTTTCCAAATTTGCTGATAAATCATAGTGATTTTGTTGTTACAGTCGAATTATTCCAATTAGATAACTGAAAAGAAACAAAAGTTTTAAAAATTACATCGCAATTTTTTGTTCTAATTTAATTTAATAAAAATTAAAATTTTAAAATGATTACACAGGATGATTATAAACATATTCGTATATTATCTTTTGTACTTTAGGATCACCTTTGGTGCATGATGGACCATTGAATAATTACATGCAATCATCACAATTACCAGAAGTTGTAATAAATAGTGCGCCTCCAACTTCTATAACTGAAAATGTTGTACCAGATCGGGCAATAATAAACAGTATGTAGAAAAATCACTTACTTTCTTTTTCAATTTTGTTAACCTTTTCGAGGAATATGCTTTAATGCACAATAAATACAATTTTTTGATAATAAGGACTTTGAAAGGTTTAAAATCAATATTGTATAAACCAATGAAAATATCAAGGTCAATCAAAAGTTAAATTAATAATTGGAAAGTCAACATTTATGTTTTATATAACACAACAATATCTGTTAGACGTTTTCGAAGATATAACAGTTTTTTCGAAAATAATTAAAATATAATTTGTGAAATAACAATTGTAACATTTGAATAATTTTTTTATTGTTTACCAAGTTTTCTTTTTACCTGTTTTTCTTTTTATCTGTTAGCGCATGCCATATACTTATCTCTTATCTTTCGCTTTTTTTCTAAAAAGGAAAAGAAGCAAATTAAAGCTACTAAATTTAAGAGAATGACAAGTATATGGAAAAAGCGTTAATTGAAGATTTCAAACAAATTTAAAGTTTTCGTTTGAAATAAACAAAAATGAAATTTAAACTTCCGTCATAATAAAACTTAAAAAAACAAAGAAATTCAAATGTTTTTATTACCCGAACCATGAGAGATAAGCTCCTAAATAGTTTATTTTACCCATTTTTAAAAACCCTTAATTTAAACTTCCATTGGACTTAATAACTTCCCTAGTTTAGAAAATATAGCTCTGCAAAAATTACCTCTGAAGGTTCTCATCTTTCTTCACGGACCTTCGACCAAAGTGGTAGGTTATTCCTCTTCTCAGTTTTGTAATATTAATTCTTTATATTATTATGATAAAAATTTGGATGAACCTTAATATTATAATATGTATGTATGTAAGAAAAAATTAATACCTAATTTTAAATGTTGTATTTATAATTTAGCCATATAGCCTAAATTTTCTTTTTAAACATCCGCTTTAGTTCTTTTACTACGTCAAATGTTTTGAACCAAAAGTTTCTTGCGAAATTTTAAACTATGACGTTGTGAAGCTAATGAACAGATTTGTCCGAGCAACGCATATACTACAAAAGCATGAAAATCATTTATGAATACTAATGCAAATGTCATGAATTTCAAATATAATAAAAATTTCATTAGGAAAAGGTTAAAACAATTGAAAATTTTAAACATTATATGTACATACACGCACGTACATATGTATATAAATTAATTTTTAGATATTTTTATTTGTAGCTAATGAAATGTTAACAAATGAAAGAATGAAAGTTAACACTGAGTCCATTAAAGGGAATGTAAACAATTTAAAATCACAAAATAATCATGTGCCAACAAATCAACAAAATAAAAAAAATCATTACAATAATTACAAGCATAATAGGGGAAGGAAATTATATTAGAATTTTGTTTTTATATTTATATACATACTGATTATATATATATTATATTTACATGCATGTGAAAATGAAAATATGTATATATATTTATATATGTATATAAAAATATATTTTTATACAGACAATAATATTATTAACTTTGTTACAAATTATTTAATTAAAATATAGTTATATTAAAAATAATTCTTAATTTACCTACTGTAATTCTATTTAACCTAACGCTAATTAATAAATTTATAAAATTTTTATTATAATTGTCTATTTAATCAACAAAAATATTTTATAAAAAATATGTGCATATATTTTTTTTCAATCAAATTTTCAAGCACATATTCTCTTTTTAGTACTTAATAAAAACAATATAAAGTTTTATGCTTAAAAATATAATTTACAGATATTATCGGATGTAAAAGTCGATTATACATTTTGCGTAATCGTTGAGTATTAACCTTATTTAACTATCTGGATCTTCTAATTTTCAAACAAATAATCTCGTAGAAAAAATAATAAAATAATTTTGTTTTAAATAAATAGAAAAATATAAAATATATACGAATTAAAAGGGGACACTCGGGTTTGAACCGGGGACCTCTCGATCTGCAGTCGAATGCTCTACCACTGAGCTATATCCCCATTTAATATAATTTCGTTAAAAATTATTTTAACAAAATTATAAAGTTTCTCTTTATAAATTAAAATCAAAATAAGAGAAAGCTTTTGATTTAAAAAATAGTAAAGTGATCGGTAATCTCTGATATGAGTTTAACTTTTATTTTTCTAAATAACAATATTTTGATGTGTTTAGTTTAAACATAAAAAATATACTCTGTACAAGCAAACGCTTTTTTTGAGAAATTAATAAATAAACAAATAAATAGGAAGTTGGAACTTGCCTTATGTTATAATCGAAGCAAAACAAATTACATATTACAATTGCGTATTTTATTAACTTATATCTAAATAAAATTTTTAGTGAACGTACTTGAGCACAGATATATGCATACAAATTATACAGGGTGAATCAGTAAAAAGTACAATATTATACATCATTGTTTTTTCGGAGTTTTTCGGAGTACCATGAGAATTTAAAATTTCAAATTAATTGGAATTCTTCCATTTTGTATTTTTTTAGTATTATTTATCGCCACAATTTCGTGTGAAATTTTTAGAAACTTAAAATTAAATTTTAAATTTAAATTAAATTTTTAAAAGTGAAAAAATCTTATGATGGTTTAAAAGGTTTTATTAAATTTAAGTTTTTATTAAAATTTAATATTTTTTCTGTTTCTGTACCTCACTTGACCGTTTAGAACATACCAGGATTTTGTCCACGTTACCCTATTTGACTATATTTATGAATCTTTAAATTTCGCTTTCTTAGGACCTATTTTTGGGCTTCAACCCTCACAGGTAGAACAGCGATTTTCAGAGAGGATCTTCACGTAAAAGTTTAGAACACGGTAACCCACTTGAACATATTTAGGACCTTCAATTTTTGCTTCCTAGGACTTATTTTGGCGCCTGAACCTTTGTAGAATTGATTTTCAGAGACGTACTTTATCTATACTATAAGAAATTGATTTGATTTGTAGAGAATGCCGAGAGCTTTTTAACAGTATCGTACTTAACTACATTCAGAAGCTTTTAGTTTATTTTGGCAAAAAAGGGACTGGAAGGGCTTTTTGGCCCCAGAAAAGCTTTTTGGAGCCAATAGGATTGAAGCTGTCAACGAGATCTTTCCAACAACCTTTTCACAGCTCATCTGTTCGATAGGTTATTGAAGAGTTGAGTTATTAGAGTTTAAAAGTTCTAAAAAATTCAGTTATATCTGATTTCCGAACATATAAATAAGAAATGAAGTCAATGAAAACGTAGTGACGTAGTAATAATAAAGTAGCGCATTTAAAAACATGTAAATTATAGGAAAATAGGTACACATCTATGGCGTACATTTTCCCTCGCTCAATAACTCATATTAGTACTTGTAAAATTGAAAATTAGAAGGTAACTCTTTAACTTTTTGTATACAAACATTGGTGTATGGTGAGTGATTGCATTTAAAGAATGTGTTTGGAGAAAAAAAATGTATTTTGAAGTAAACCTTAATGCATTACTGCGTCTCATAACTGAGAAAAAGCAAAACAATTTCTGTTACATAAAATTCCAAAAATATTTAGCGGGCAGAGTAGTAAGGCATAAAATTAAAAATAACGCTGTATATCTGCAACGTTTTATGTATTTATGGATATCAAAAGTGAGTAATGAAATGAAATTTAAGAAGTGTTGTTAATTTTACTACAATTGTATTTTACTACATTTTGGCATTTCGTACTACTATACTACTACCAAGCCATTTTTACTACTTTTTTGCCTTTATAAAGAAAATGTCATTGTTTGTTACTTAAACAATGACAATGACGTTGTTGTATTGTTACAGAAACCACTTGCGCAACAAAAAAAAAGTTAAATTTAAAACCCATCGCGAAAGAGACGGCTAACGTTGAAATTTCATATTAATGAAAACTCGCAATTGTTATTTTTAATATGAAGTATTAAACCGAAGTTTTGAAAGCGGGTACATTAAAGATATAAGCTTATTGAAATTTGTTTTGAATATAATTCAGTAAAATCGTAAAAAAAGTCGTTTCAAAGCTATAAATGTAATCAATATTTACGCCAGATAATTTATAATTATAAAAATAAATATAAATTAATAATATATATTATTAAAAATGAATATACTTCGTTCAACACCTTTGCAATTCATATGTTTATTCTTATTACATGTTTATTCCATTTTGTCTTCTGTTAATTCATTACAAAATTCGGTTCCAAACTTGTTGTTCTTAGAATTTAAAAAATTGGGAAAAAATATAATTATTTACATAAACGAAATTTGGTTTCAAATCAATTTTAAACAAAAATGAATTCGCAAAGCGTGTGTCAGTTTATGAATGACACATTTTTTAATAAGGTTTTTATCTTTTATACAAATGTACTTTCCATAAAAAGGTTAATGGAGATCTAAAAATATTTTTTGTTATGTAAAGTTTTTTTTTTTAAAATTCAAAATTATTTTCCAAAAAAAGTTTATTTTGCTAATGTTTAAGTTCGCGCTTTACACACTTGATAATGAATTGACAGTAACCAGATCAAACTGACATTAAAAAAAAACAACAAAAAAAATGCACCTACCGTAAACATCACTACGTTGTGTACTTCATTTGGGTGACTTGATTGTACAAGCACGGATATAAACACATTTTTGCACCAAGCAATTCCTGCTACGCATCTATTTAATCAGATGGCTTAGTTTTTGTTTGGTGTTAAGAATAACTCCAAATACTACGCTAAAGCTCTCCATACTACTTTTTTAAAGACAAAATGCTACTGAAAAACAAGTTGAAATTAACAACACTGCATAAATAGGCAACAGTGTTCCCACTTGGTAAAAACAAAATGTATCCAATTTCGAGGAAAAAATGTATCCAAAATGTATCCAACCTCATAAAGTAGAATTTTTATACCAAGCCGTCCTATTGTTGGTTTTTTTATTTATAGTAAATTCTTTAAGAAATCACATACAACTTCTATTATATTTTAAATGTGAAAGTTAAGGTCAGAAAAAACATATGCATATATGCCTTCTATTGTAGTTGAACTATGTGCTAAAGACAATTCACCATTAAAACGGAAAAATTTTAAAAAATATGTACAGCCAATGCATTTTCTATTACAACTAGCTTACTAGCTTCTTGTATAAATGTTCTAGATTTGAATACAGGAAGAGGCAGAGAGACTCATTTAATAAAGCAGATTTCTTACTTTCTTCTAGTAAACTCGGAAATCTGCTTAGAAAGGCCAGCAAAATAACGCTTTTTAAAGATAAAGCAATTTCGCGTTTTAATATTAGCAGCATTTTACAGTTTTGTAACATTTATTTAGTGTTTGAGAAATAAATGTATCCATATTTCAGCAAAATTTTGAAATGTAGCCAATTTCGGCATTTCAGCAAATTTGAGTATCTTTGTATCCAAGCTAAATTTAAAGCAAAAAATGTATCCAAATGGATACAATTGTATCCAAGTGGGAACGCTGATAGGCAAAACATGTCACAAAAGCTTTCTCTTCTCAATTTAATGTTCGGTACAGTGCTGCCAAATGTACCGACAAAACTTATCCAATTATTATACTAAGTCGTCTTATTTTATACAAATAAACTCAAAAATAATATTAATATCCTTTATTCAACAATGTGAGTTTCGTTATTTATAGTAAGTTCTTTAAGAAATCAAACGCAATTTCTATTGCATTTTAAAAGTTATGGTCAGAAAATATATGTTCTGTAGCTGTTGAACTATGCGATAAAATCGATTCACCATGAAAACGGACAAATTTTATTTAGTCAGCAAATAACAATTTTTTGAAGATAAACCAATTTCGCGATTTATTATCATTAGCACTTTTGTAACATTTATTTAGTGTTCGAGAGAGAAATGTATCCATATTTCAGCAAAATTTTAAAATGTAGCCAATTTCTACGTTTTAGCAAATTAGAGTATCTTTGTGTCCAAACTAAATTTTAAAGCAAAACTGTATCCAAATGGATACAATTGTATTCAAGTGGGAACGCTGGTTGCAGTACTATTTTAATTTTTTAGTATTAAAAATCAAAAAGTAAACAATAAATAAATTAAAATCTTTTGACATACTGACAAGTGACACTACAATGGATTTTGTAGTAGCATTTGACGAATTTTATATTATGTACATATGTGTTTGCGTAAATTTTCAACACCTTGCGCATCATTATTAAAAAGGTATATTTAAAATAATTAAAATATATAAAATAACAAGACATCAATAATAAAACATCAAATTAGGTGAAATATTTATAAAAATTTCCAATTGGTTTATGCAAAAAACTTGCTACTCTATGCTTTGTTTTATTTTTTATTAAATCATATTATAATTGGTTATAATATGGAAAACATGAAAAAATAATGAATAAATGCCAGAAATGTTCAAACGCTTTTTTTGAATACTATTTCCCAGATTTTTCTTATAAAACAATGAAAAGCAAATATGTAAAGCTTTATGAGATTACTTCATTAAGGTGAATTTTTAAATTAAGCAAACACAGCTTTCGGAGATATTAAGAGAATTAATTTTGCAAATTTAATTTTTAAATACACTTTATAATGATGACGTATTGAAGTATAATA